AACTTGAAATCCCTTTCTAAGCTGCTGATCTAACCTAAGTGAGAGGGGGAGACTATACCAGCCAGAAAATTTCTCTTCTGGGTATTTTTCCCTTCCCGCCCCTTTTCTTTTTTTAAAGTCCTTAAGTGAGTTTGATGCTGCACCTCTGCCCATAAATTTAAAAAAATATTATCGTAATGTAGGTCAGTGAACTGAAACGCCACTGTACACCATGGGGGATTAAAGTCAGAGAGGCAGCCCTCTCCCACTCCTGCTAGGTCATATGACAATATAAACAAGAAATGCAAGGAGCCTTCAGCTTTTTCTTGCCCTAATCCTTTGTTTATGCAGCACTTAAACTGACTTTTGGGGTCGTCTCTGTCTGGCATTAAAGCCCTAAAGCTTTTTGAAGTTTCCCTGAAGTTAATAAAATTAGTCTGCCCTCGTTGCTAGGCCCCTTGCTGCTGCTTCAGAGCAGACTGCGTATCCCTTGCTGTCTTCGCGGCATTTGGCTTTCTAAGGTCATAATATTTTATACCAAAAGAAAAAAAAAAGAGAGAAAATCAGAAAGCTCTCCCAAAAGGCTGTTCAGCTAATAGGCCAAATGATTGCCATTGTAGATGTTCTGAGAACTCAGAGGGGATTAACTTAAAATCCCACGATTGGAGGTAAATTGCTGGTAAAGTAATTGGAAGTGTTGCGTTTCAGTTGGAGAGAACAACAAGCATTTCTTTGCCTTTTTACCAAGCAAGGCTAAACCAAAATATTAATTTTTAAAAAATTTTTCTAACATGATCTTTAAGTTGAGAAAATGAGCTTTGCTTCATAGTAATTCTTTCCAACACCTATTTATTTCAATGCAAAGACTGATCAAGTTATCTTAGCTCCTGTTACAGCAGGCATTCTCATGTTATTTTGTCTTTGTCAGGGATAAACTGATGATAGGATAACTGGAGGGGATGGACAACATAGGATGGGTTATATAGTATTCAGTGCACAAGACTGACACTTCAGGTCATAAAGGTTTTATTCCAAACAGCCACTCAGGCAAGTCACTGATCACTTATTGCTTCAGCACCACTAAAGCAGTTTTGTTTCTAATGGCTTATAGAGATGCCCAAGGAATCATGGTGATACCGACAGAACATATTGACCACTTGAAGGAGGGGGTTTAGTTTTAATGAGTTGAGCATTAGAGTGAAAAGAACAGTGGAACTGGAGCCCTTGGTCTGTTTCCTAAACTGAATGTACAAGAGCAAGATCCTAAAAAGCACATTTCCTTATAAAAGACAAGGGTTTTTTTAAAATGAAAGGTTTTGAGTGTGGCAGAACTAAATGGTAATACGTTTTGTTGCTATTCTAATCAGGAATTGTAGGTTGTCATTACTGTTTTACTCAAAGATCTGTGATGACTGTAACAGTTGTTCATAGAAATCATTTGAGTTGCTGAGGAGCCTCCTCCTCGCTGGGGAGGCTCTAAACTGAACCATACTAGTCCAGTATGATTGCTCTCTCTGTAATTCCATATTTAATTAAGTTAAAGATAACTTTGAAGTGCTCTTGGAAAAATAAAAGATCTTTATGTGGCCTTTTAAAGTTGGCTTCCTGTGCCATTTTGGGAGATTACTACAAAAATCATAGTTACGTGGAAGATCCTCACTGGAACATAAGAGACCATCTGTGTTTCAAACACAGGGGAAAGAAGCACATAGCTTGCAGTGGAGAATAGGGAGGGGGGTTTGAAATTCTTGTTTTAGGGACAAAAGGTTTATAGGAAGAAGTAATATTTTTATTTCTCCAGCTAATGCAACTGGAAAAAAAGGAAGAGTTAGAGAATGTAAGTGCTTCTTCAGGTTGGAATTAACAGCTTCTTTTTGTGCTACTCTTCTGTTTCAGACCCAAAGAAAGGCGAGTGTACCTGAAAGCTTATCTATCCCCCTCTACCACCACCTATTATCAGGCGCTCTAGTAAAAGACATTTTTCAGTTTTAAATTTAAACCAGAGGTTGCCAAGCAGTGATACTGCCACTAATGATTCATCAACTATTTTGAAGCAATGGGAAAGGACAGACATGATAAAAAAAATACAGATGTGACCTTTTGGGAAAAGATGAGGAGTGGATGTTCGAGCAGAGAATGTTATTGAGGCATCTGAATGCTGTTGCCTACGGGTTTGACTGTACCCAGCTGGGAGTGGAGTTACCTGTCCTGTTGTCATCTCCATGTGAAAGAAAGGAAGAGGGGCTGTGGATATTTTTCATCCTGGATGTGGTCTGGGATAGGGAGAGATCTTGCCAGTGCTCTGCAATACTGCATAACCCTTTCAAGGCTGTTTATAGCTGAGCTAGTAAGCTCTGTTTAAAATGAAACAAAAATTAAATTTCTGATGCTAGGTTTACTACCATACTGAGATTGGCATTAAAATAGAGGTGTATATATGTAGCAAAATAATAGCAATCATAGGGATTTGAGTCTGTTATATGCATTACAGTTTATGGAGGAGGCTTCAGGGAAGGATAGTTGCTTAATAAACCAGCAATACTGTGAGTGACTGTTAAAACTGAATAAAGGGGAGTGTTCAAAACTGGTTATAATTTTTCACTGTTCTAAGTCACTTTGGTCTTTGAAACCCTTAGGTGTAGCTAAAAATGGCTCCTAAGATATGAAGAAGAGCTGCAACTTCTACCACAGAAAATAATCTTGGAAAGATTCAAGTAATATCCTCATATTTCTTCCGATTAGATAGATGTTCTTTCTATCTCTACAAGGTAGAGCAACTCCAGGCTTTAGGTATACAAGGATATTCACACCTACAGGATTAGGCTCACTTGACTGCACCTTATACTTTGTAATGCCTAAGGGAGGGTTGTTTATCTTGCCTTACCCACCAACATTGCTGCCTCTTGTTCCTGATAGCTTAATTAAGAATTCAACTTGGAATGGTTCTTCCCACTGGGTTACAAACCTTGAAATTAAAATTGGATACAATGGTCATAAGGCTTTTAGTTTAACAAATCAATATGTATGTAAAGGTGAATATTTAAAAGGCTCCATTTAGAAGCTGTCATTTCTTTGGAAGTGTAGCTGTTGGAGTGCAGGTCTGGAGCTAAGAGAAAATGTTTATGTAGGTGATAATGTTCTTAGCTGTAGGATAAGTAATGGAATAAACTTTTTGTGAGCATAGGTACTTATGTGACTTTCATGGAAAGGTTTCAAAGCAGAAGAAAGATTTTAATTAACTCATCTTTACAGCATGTTTTGTTCTTCCTATGTTCTGAGAAGAAAGGTAAAAGCAGAAATGTGTTGACTTGTACAAGCTTTTATGGTTTTAGACACAAATTGCCTTAAACTCAACAGTTTAGATGACTTTTCTGGAGATTTGTTCATTTGGGGGTAAATGGTTTTTAAAGGGTGGCAGAAGTTGCCAAACTCAGAGTGGTTCACAGATAATTTCTTATCACTTTAGACTGTAGATTCATGAATCCCTGTTTCTTTTGCAGGTGATGGATGACTACAGTGTGATTGGTCGTTCGCTGTTTAAAAAGGAAACAAACATCCAGATTTTTGTGGGTCTGAAAGTGAAACTGTCTACAGGAGAAGATGGAATAATAGATGGTGGGTTTGGACAAAGTGGTAAATTTAAAATCCGAATTCCAGGTAGGTGCTTATCAGTTAACAGATCCAAATTTATGTCAAGTGTAGATGATCTTTCCATATTGCAAGTCTAAGTGTTACCAGTGGTCTCCTGAAGTTTTGAAATCTGCTCCTACCCGGTTGGACCAGTGATCCAGTGGTACCTCTCCTAATTAATGGTGACTGTGACTTATATTGTGAGACTCAATGGCCTGAAGCCACATCTCATGAATCAACAAACTCGGGCCCCAAAATGACTTCTTGATAAGTGGCAGTAACATAGAAATCATGCTGTGCCCAGAAAGGTTTGTGGTAATCTCTGTTCTCTTAATGTATGTATGATTTGCACCAGAGCCCTCTGAACAAATAAAGGAAAGCAAACCTGCAATCATTTTTACCTGTAGCTACTTATTAAATATAGTATATTGGATGTGAGTTCCTTAAATTGACTCTGTTCTGCATGTTATTACCTAACTTGCCTCAAGCAAAAACGGCTTGATAAATGGCTTTTTGGACATCTTGAGAGGTTTTTTTTATTGCTTGTGTCTCCTGGTTTTATGATGTTATATATGACTGTATTTTTCATCCTTGGTGAATTACAGGAAGGATTTATGCCTCCTTAGGTTAGAGCATGGGAAATGATGGGTGCTAGAGTTTATAAGTGTCATTACTGGGTTTTTTTCCTCCTTCTTCTAAGGCAAGAGAGTCCTTCTGAACCTTTTCAAAAGGCAATAATAGGTGCTGCGTTTTACTCAGATTGTGGGATAAGATTTTATCGCTACTTGGGAGTACTTTTTGTATTTCTGTAGTGTCTTCAGCCTATTTGTCACTAGTTAATCCCCCGCCCTCTTTAGAGAGATGAGTGAGATTACTTCTGTTATACAAGTAGAGGAAAGAAATCCTCATATTCTATGACAGTAAACAATCACATAGCAATTGATCTACAGAGAAAGGTAAAGTTTCCTGATTCCCTGCTGAAGAGGGACTGTTTTTCCATTTAACTTGGGGCACGATGCAACTGCACTAATTTTGATCCTCTGCAAATTTCCTTTCTTCTTCCTATCACAAGATAAGAATTTCTGACTAGACAAAAAAATCTGTATTCTATCCTAGCTGTAATTCCAGTTTTGTCACCAAATCCTAGACTTTGCAAATAGGTCTGAGACCCTAATTAGTAAGCACAATGCACATTTAAAGAAGAATATTCAAAGTAATCATAACCAGATACATGTATGATTTTAGTTTTCTAGCATAGAAAGGCTTGTAAGGGTTCACTGAGGTAGGTACCTTTAGGTAGGTGGTGAAATAATGTGTAAATGGCCTTAATGCTGAAAATCAAGATAATACCTTGCTTAAAAATGTAATGTTCTTAGTAGTTTTCCTCTCCTGGAGGCAAAAGTTTGGTAAAAGAGAAGAACAGGAGGGGATGGCATTTACATTGCCATTTCCACATTTTGGATGGAGGAAATGGTTCTTCTTGGGACAGGGAGAAGCCTCATAAGTACTCTTTGCCACTATTGAGGATGTGTAAGCAGGAACTGTAATTGTGAACCAGCAGTTACATTAAGAAAATTGTATATGGACTTAGGGAATGGCATTTAGCGCTGTAGATTGAGTTTGTGGGAAGAAATGGTACCTTTCACAGAGGTGTTCATTATCTAATCTTGGTTAGACTCTTCTGATGCTTAACAGGAGACCTTGAAACAGAGGACCCTTTATAGTTTGTTCTTTCAGTGAGAAGAATATGTACCAGAATGTTAGAATTTAATACCTCTCTAAGGTAGGCAGAATAATACAACTTAGTTTGCTTTGCTTTAGTCTGGGTCAAACGTGGGTGCTCTTGTTGTCTGGAAAGAAAAGGCAGTAAGTTAAATTACCTTAAGCTAAGAGGTATCAAGCAATGGGAAAGAAGCACAGAATTTGGAAGACCCTATATCCCCATGACTTTAAGAGCTGCAGAGATCTGTGTGTAGGGGGAGGGCTATTGCTGTGATGCTGTTTAAGTCAACTGCAGTTCACATTCCTTTGTTAGATCAGTGTTGCTTTTTTAATGTGTCTGCATCCTGTTTGTGGAGTTTTGGTGGTTTTGCTTTTTTTTTTTTTTTTTT